TGCTCCAAAAAGTCGATTTCAGCAGCTAAAAAAAGCACTTTCCGTTAGGATTTGACAGAAATAAAGTTCACCATTATTTTAAGCACATTTGAAACTACAAATTGGGCTAATAAAAGAGAGTACAAAAATTTCGTTTCAGTGGCACTTTAAAAATACATTGACTCTGTTAATAAGCAACGACAACAAAATGGTGGTCCCATGTGAAAACAGACTAATAAAGCAGAGTTTCATGGTGTACTATATTATCTAACAGTTGGACTTCTACGACATTTACTATCCAAATTTTTGTGTGAAGCCTTGGAGCTGAATGGCTCATAACTGCGGGAGCTTATCCTGGTTTCTGTAGCATGAAGTGGCTAGGAGTATTTTTACTCGCCCTGGACGGGATGCTAGTCGATCTCAGGTCACTCCTCCGCAATTTGTTAGGTTTCCCCAACAATTTGCCGGTACCCATTTATACTCCTGGGTGGAGAGAGGCACTGTGAGAGTTAAGTGTCTTGCTCAAGAACACAACACAATGTCCCCAGCCAGGGCTCGAACCTGGACCGCTCGCTCCGGGAATGAGTGCACTAACCATGAGGCCACCATGCTTCCCACTCCAAAGTTTTGTACCAGTATAATATTATCAGTTCTTAGAAATTAAGATTTGATTTTGTGGATCAATTAGTTGACTTTTAGTCACTTCCTGGTGGCAGTTAAACTGGGCAAATTCTGTTCATTATTTGTTCATTATTTTTGAGAGCTAAATGCCTTATAATTTTACCTTGCATTTTGTTAAACTATGAATTTAAATTTGTTAAGGTCTTATATACAAATCTACCTGGAAGGCCCACATTTAATTGGGTCCAGTGATCAATCAAGAAAATATGGCACCATGTTGCTTTACATGCGATATGCCATACTTATTATGTCGTAAGACACCATATGTATATCCAGACAGGAGTGCAGGTTACTGCTAGCATACTTTTTAATTCTGTGTATTTTCTCTAGATTAACTCTGGAAAAGAAGAGTACAAACAAGTCTTCAAAGGAAATAATTCAGCAGGTCTTGACAGAGCTAGAGGTTAAAAGCTGGAAACATCAAGTCAAATGCATGAGAGAATAGTAAGTAGATATTCTGATTAATCTATGAATTTGTAAATAGTAAATCCAATCCATTGTATTTCACTAATTTTTTAATGTGCACATATTTATTATTTTAGTTACTTGGTTATTTATTTAGTTATTTTAGTATGATAGTTATGTAGTCTTGTGACTGAAAAACCCTTGAAGGGAGTTGCAATAAAGTAGTATGTATGTATGATTGTATCCTGGGCTGATGTGTCCACTCAAAGAAAATGTGGACCCTGTTTCCTATCTCAAGTCTTTTGGTCTCAGAGGTCTTTATCCCTTTTGATGCATAATCAGCAGAGTTGACTTCTGAATTGAATTGTTGGCATTTTGTTAGTTTGGATCCTTTTCTGATGTCAGCAATACAGTAAGCAACAAAGCTTAAAAAACCTTCAATTATTATCAATGAGTAAGATATCTCTCAGGATGATCTGATATCCTATGTATCATGGCTGCAGAGTCCATTCAAAAGCTCACAGCGTTCTCTCAGTGTGGCCTATTTATCTGACTCGTGATTTAACTTGTTCAATAACATAATTGCAGTCATTTCCATTTTAGGCATACTACTTGTTAGAGGTTTTACCCATCACATTCCCATTAGTGTTTGTTGATAAATTCATGAGAATCCTTGATGGCTGGCATTTTGTCTTCAAGAGGAAAGCTGAAAGGACATCTTTGGCACTTACATGCTTCCCTATTAAACCTTCCAAAGAGTGTTAAAACGGTTATCAAAAAGAGTAGGGCACGTAGTTCCCGGTGTTGTGGTCTGGCCTTGTCTCACGGGTTGGGGTTTTACATAGGGTTAACTTCATTGCACCTTTCCCCCTTGGACGGAATTGTCCAAGAAAAATTGCTATGACTATGACTAACCCCCCCCTCCAGATCTCTGTGTTCTACTTCAACTCCCTTGAATTCCTTGTTCGACTCGTTATGACTTCCAAAGAGATTTCACGCTTTTACATCTTCCCAGAAGGTTTTTGCCAATAAGTTTCAGTCAAACAAGTGTCTACAGGGCTTGAAATTGCAACTGATAGTCCAACAGATTCAATCAAGTGCACACAAAAAAAAGTTAAATGGAAGTAAAATTTGAAATCTCTTTTCCAACGTGGAAAGTGGTGTAAAAAGTTAAAGTCAAGCCCTGAATGATGTAACTTTGTTATTTAGAGTCTGATTGTGTTACTTCTACAGTTTTATTTATTGTCTGTGGCTTCTTTATTCTTGTCTTACTAACATGTAAGTATGGTCAGGTGAGGAAGCAGTTGCACTGTCCTTTGGCTTTTAAGGTGTGCAGGTGTGATCACACAGTATGTTTTAGGTGCACAACCAAAAATCTAGTTGCACATGCCACCAGTTGGTCATTAACTTTGAGCCCTGACAACTTGTTATATGGACCTAACTGTGAGTGCTGTGCCAAAAATGGAAATGACAGCTCAAATAACTCAAATAAAAATTTGATTTGAGTTATTTGAGCTGATAACCATTTTATGGTTGTTAAAATGTCTGGTTAATTTGTTAATCAGGGCGAGTGTTAATAGCAGCTTGTAATTGTTAGTTCAAAAAGCTCAGTTAAATTTTGTGTTAAAATTCCCAACTCATTTACATGTATTGGTTGGGATAAATACTATTCTCAATTGTCTGGGCACATGTCATGCAGTGGTGACGTACACTTTAGATGCTGCAATAGGCTTAATTCAAGTCAGGAAAAAGTTGGCTTATATCTGTCATCATTGTGCTACTGTGTTGGTGAACAGCTTTTGTTGATGAGGTTCTAGAAACTTGGGTGACTTTAATTTTTCAGTTCATTGAACAGAAGACTGGAAAACAGCAGACATAATGCCAATTTACAAGTCATATGAGATAAAGATGGCAGAAAACTATTGTCCTGTTTCACTGACCAGTATTATTGTGAAGACCCTGGAAAATCTGGTTCATATCCATATTGTGAGGTTTTTGAGAGACCACAGTCTTTTGAGTGGCAATCAACATTGCTTTAGGTGGCTGCTCCAACTTCTTCATGACTGGTTGAGGTTCAACCATTTAGATAAGCCAAGTTCAGTAGATGTTGTATTCTTAGACTGCCAAATTGTTTGCCAGTGTCTCATCCTCATCTCCTTTACAAACTTAATCAATATGGAATTAAGGGACAGCCACTTTGCTGGATAAGGTATTGCCTTACCATTTGAAAACACCGAGTGGTAATTGCAGGTCATTTACCAGCCTGGTTAAACAGGACATATGGTGTTCCTGAGGGAAGCATCCTTGGCCCATTATTGTTCCTAGTTTACATTAATGATCCCCCACTTGGTTGCTTGTAAGTCAGATTTGTTTGCTGATGATACAGTTCTTTACTGACATATAACGTTGTTACCAAACTGTGTGCAGTTTGAAGGGGACTTAAGATTGGCCTCAGATTGGAGAAAGAAATGGCTTGTAACCATGTCACTAGAAAGGAAGATCTTTTACCCCACCAGTATTCTCTTTACAACACTTTATTTCCATCAATTGATCATCACAAGCATCTGGGGGTTTGGCTGGAGTCATCATTATCCTAGAGCCTTGACATTAGCACCATTTGTGCCAAAGCCAACAGGGTTTTGTACCTAATAAGGCTTATGTAAACTGTAAAGTGGTGGCTTACTTGTATTTTGGTGACAACAGGACTGATTTAAACTGTTGTATTTGATGTTGCTTCTAATCTTGGATATCATGTTTATCTTTGTCCTGTTAAGCCAGAGACCTAGCAAAATAAGGTTCCTTAATAGTGGTTTTCAATGGAAATTGTTTTTATGAATTCTTGCACAACGACAAAAATCAGATACTGATTGCTGATTGCAATTTCAGTTGATTAGTCTGAGCGATACAAGCTTCTTTGATGTTGCATTTATCTCTTGTTTTGCATTCTTCTCTAAAGATTTTCAAGCAAAAGAGAGACTACTTGCAGTCTATGCAAAGGAGGGCTTCACAACTAATTTGTCACCCAAAGAGGGCATACATGTATGTGGAAAAACAGGAGGAATTGAAATAAAATTCCTTAGAGCTGAGGTGTAAATATCTAAGCCTCATACAAATGTACAAGGTTATATTTTGGGTTTTCAAAATAGACATCTCCAAGTTTTATAACATAATAGGTTCATTAAGAACTAGAACTTAAGACCAATGGTCTTTCATACTGATTATTTTAGGAAATCATTTTTAATCATTACAGTATTGTGCAAAAGTAATGCAAGCAATAATGTACAAATTTTGTTCTTTGTTGAGTGGAATTCCGTGGCCTGTCGAGTGATAATTTGCTGGGGCAAACAGCGTTAATTCTTGGAATTTTTGATAAGTAAATGAAAGTTTGCAAGCACTAAGATATTTTGCCAGTCAATACACTAATTTTTGCAAAGCACTGAATGGCAGTTCACCAGCGTTTGCGCAATTTGCAACTGATATGAACAAACTGTCATAACTTACATGAGATAAATTTTGAGTCATGTGTTTGTCTGTAAATTTATTCCAGAGAACATGGTTTAAAGTCACTGATCACCAATAAAGAGGATAACTGGCAATGTTATTTATAACTAATATGGTACTTGAATCTTATACCTAAAATTTGCAAAAGGTTTTCAAGCAGGTTCATTCTTTTGAGTTCAGTTTCCTATGCAGAGCATTAGAATGTACTTACCATATGATGAAGACAGTGAGCTCAGCTCATTCTACAAACAAAACAGGAACATTTCCAGTTCTGGGTATTATTTTAAGCTGTTAAAGCAAACAGTCACAAACAACTTATGAGGAACTTTTAATCAAAATATAATTTTCTAGCTATCCTATCCTGGGCTTATGCCACGTGTTTCAATTGTCCATTGACTCATGATTCCTGTGTTTTGCAAAGTGACATCAATATGTATCATACACCGATACAGTCTAAAGCACTAATGTGTGAGGGTTTGTTGATATTCCTATTGGTTATTTTGGAAAATTTCTGTCAAGTTTGATGTCCAAAAATACAGCGACACGTTTTACGACGAAGGCCATTGCAGGAGATCAATTTTGAAAAACGCAAATCCCCCACACGGTTTTGATGATTGATGCCTTGTGAATGATATAATGCAGTAGCTTTGTTGATGCGGTCGAGTTTGATACCTGATAAATTCGCTCAATGGAACATCGGTCGTTTCGCGCTTTTAGGTCGCGCTCGCCTTATGATTAAAAAAAATTGAGGCAAAACAATTTTTATCAAATAGAGCATTCTATAACCTTTGCATT